GCTACCCAGCAGGAGCTATGGAGAGATCTGCAGATTCCTCTTCTTTGGGGTTTGGAGGTGCCCAGATGAGGCCCAGCTGTGAAGCAATGCAAGCTGCTGTGGGGCCTTGGGCCTTCTTTTGGATGTTCTGGGTCTCTGACCCAGCTGCGGTTTTTTAGGTAATTTTCAGATTGCAAAGGGCCAGGTCATTCATATGCAAACGCCTCTGCACACAGCTTGGGTGAGGCGGGGTCTCAGGGAATCAACAGGGTGGAGCAAACAGCTATGACTGATCCTCAGTCCTGCCCTAAGAGGCCCCCAGGTCTCAGTGTTCTGCGGTAATCGCTGCAAGCACCTCTGAGAGAAAGCCGCCCTCAAGTTCTGCCCGCTGCTAGACAGTCCAGTTTCTCCCCGTATGAGTCTGGGTCCCCACAGACTCGCCCAGAACTGGAGTCAGGGCCGTTGGAAGCTTGTGTCTTCCTCCTGATTGAAAAAGACAACCATGTACTCAGTTGACAGCCCTTTCCGCGTGCGCCTCTGTACCTCTGCACTTCTGAGTCTCAGTGTGCTTTTCTCTTTCCTTCTAGTTGTAGAATTTCCACTCAGCCAGCCTTCCTGTGGTTCTGGATGATGTATGCTTTGTCTTTTAGTTGTATTTTTGAAGTGGTTGTGCGAGGCAGCAATTTCAGGTGTTTACCTATGTTGCCATCTTGGTTTCTCGAGATTGGGGTTTTTTAATCTTCTTTTTGGACATTGAAAGTGAGGGGATCTGCTCTTTTACCCCGAGATCAGACAAGATTGGGTGCGTTCAGGGTGGTATGGCCGTAGACCAGCTTTTTCTTTTTTCTTGTGAATTTTCTTTTATTGGGACATAGAGGGTAGGTAACTTGGTGGTTATACCCCACCAGGGTACTGTCCATTCTAATCTTCCTGGGCTAGCTTTTGGAGCTTTTTCTCCAGCTTTTTCTTATTATATGTTTAGGGTTTATTTTTTCCCCCCATCCTATATAATAAAAGGGTAATATGCAAATCGACCGAACGGCGGAATGACCAGTCACTATGATGCGCACTGACCACCAGGGGGCAGACACTCAATGCAGGAGCTGCCCCCTGGTGGTCAGTGCACTCCCACAGGGGGAGCACCGCTCAGCCATAAGCCAGGCTGACAGCTGGCAAGAGCAGTGGCAGTGGCAGGAGCTTCTCCTGCCTCCGCAGTGCTAAAGATGTCCCACCGACATCCCCTGAGGGCTCCATAACTGCTAAACTTCCGAAGTTTAGCAGCTAAATGGTGCAGGCCGAGCTGAGGGACTCTCCCCGCCCCCTCGAGTACACGAATGTCGTGCACCGGGCCTCTAGTGTTATATAAAGGGCTGTTTTCTGTATGGTTTTGGTTGCAAGAGGAATAAAGAAGTCTGAAATTTTTCTCTCCAAATGTGGTCTGTTCATTACTTAAGACAAACTTAAATGGATTTTCAATTTTGGGTTAACCTACAGAAATAGCATTTATTAATTAGGAACATGTTACTAAATGCTTGTGTCGTTTATATGTAAATTAGTTAAAGAATACGTTATTAAATAAATACTGAGTTAAAATGTGTTGCTAAGATAAGACGCCTATTTTGTTTTCTAAATGAGACAATTCCGTTTTTAAAATAATAATACTCACCCAGCCAGCGTGGCTCAGTGGTTGAGGTCATGAACCTAAGAACCAGGAGGTCACAGTTTGATTCCCAGTCAGGGCACATGCCTGGGTTGTGAGCTCGATCCCCAGTAGTGAGTGTGCAGGAGGCAGTCAATCAATGATTCTCTGTCATCATTGATGTTTCTCTCTCTCTCTCCCTCTCCCTTCCTCTCTGAAATCAATAAAAATATATTTTTAAAAATAAATAGATAAATAAAATAAAAATACTCACCCGGCTGGTATGGTTCAGTGGTTGAGCATTGAACTATGAACCAGGAGGTCACAGTTTGATTCCCAGTCAGTGCACATGTCCAGGTTATGGGTTCGATCCCCAGTTGGCAGTGTGCAGGTGGCAGCCAATGAATGATTTTCTCTCATCATTGATGTTTCTATCTGTCCTGCTCCCTTTCTCTCTGAAATCAATAAAAATATATATTTTTAAAAATACAAACTACACTGTAAAGTGAAAAAGAAAGCTGAATTCAAAAGTATAGATCTGGTTTAATTGCTAACTATTTGATAATGCATAAAACTTTAAGAATGAAAGGAAATATAATAAAGTGTTAATAATTTATTATTAAGTGATAAAATTGTAATTTTTGTTCTCCTTACAATCTGTGTTTTCCAGATTTTCGTATTATTAATGTTTTATTAAGAAAGAAAGTATATTTCAAAGGTGTATTCCCTGCTTCTATTTAATGGTGTTAAAGGGACCAGTCACTATACAACTCACAGTGTTCGAAGACTTTGAATTCTCTAGCTCAGTGGTGTAAACGAGCAATCACAAAATCATGCATTTTAAAACCATTAGATTCTCTGGCAATGCCATGTGGATAGCACCACTCCAACAGTTGTAATGACTATGCTAGTTGACTTGGCATTTAAACTGAAAAGAAAAGTAGTAAGTTATTCATCTATGAGAGTACTTCTTTTCATCCCTTGTTTGCTTTTTCTCTTTAGATGTCATTGACAACTGTAAGCTGGTTTCAGATGAATGTCGAAAAAAGGTAAAAGCACTAACAATAATCCAGTTATGAAAGGCTTCATTACCATTTTTGCCTGAGAATTTCTTCAGGTTCATTCACACAAACGAGAATGAATGCAAAGTGCTTGTAGCCATACCTGGAACACAGTAAACACTCAGTAAATGTTAGGTTTATTCTTTGGATTACAGCACTCAACTTCTTTTAAAGAAAAAAATTACCAGTAACATTTTAATAACAACAAAACTTACACGAAAAACTTAAATGATTACCAAAATATTCTGGTATCTTTACATTAACTGGAAAGTTAAACAAAACTACTTTGGCTTTAATGTAGGTTTTGCTCCTTTAAATTGATCAGGAAATTGCCTTAGTTCTCTGCTTTTTTGAGTAGGTGTCTGTATCTCTTTTAACAAAATAAGATTCCAAAGATGAATCAAATTTAATACTTTCATATGAGAATGAAAATGTTTTTGTAGTGATAGTATGATTATTAGTTGGTTTCACTGAATTGCTGAGCTGAAAGTACTTTAAAAAAAAAGAAAAGCAGCCTTTTGCTGGTCTATTTAGTTACATGTAAACCTAAACCAACAAAGATCTTTTCAGTTGCTATATGTAATAGATACTCATACTCCAATCTTTACCATTTAAAGCAGTTCATGGAATACAGTTGACTACATTGTTTTGCTTCCTATAAAATTAAGCAGCTTAATGGCAACTCTGCAGCCTTCGTGATTTAGGTATTTGTTTCTTTCTAGTTACTGGAACTAAAGGAAAAATTTTATGCTATTGAAACTGACCCTCGTCTTACGGTAGAACAGAAGAACCCTTATATGGTAGAATGGTAAGTGTGTATTCACCATGGGAGGGTTCAAATATAATAACCTTACATAACAGTTACAACTAATGGTGTCTTTTCCCCCCTGTACCATGTGCACATAGATTAATACATTGTCCAATGAGTTAGAGCAAGTGATTAAATATAACAAAACAAACAAATTCTCTCATCACTCTCACGGTCTAGAATTAGTTTTGTTCTGCTTTGTTTTTGAAGATGAAGATCGGTAGGAATAAATTTAAAATTCTGCACCTAAGCCTGAAACTCAAAACAAGAATTTGTTTTCTCTGAAGTCTATGGACAAGATGTGGCTCAGTGTGTCAAGAAAACGACGTAGGATTTAGATGGACTCTGTGCTGAGCTGGAGCCAGCGGGGACAGTGCTGAGAACCAGCCGGCCTCTGCTGATGGTGCATTCATGGAAGTGCGCCCCTCCCTCTAGGCAGAGCACGCTGCCAGCACGGTGTTGCCTCTGGGGAGAACACTGGAGAGATGCTGACGCTCAGAGGGTCGGAGCAGCCGCTAACATAGGCCCAGACACTGGAGCCGCTCCATTTGAGGAACTTTTCAAAGAATGGAGACTTTTGATCTGAGAAGTAACATCGAGTGGTTTTAGAATCTTAAGAGACCAGAAATGATGTTGTTTATATTCATTATCCCATCATCTAACTGCATACCTTGCACACTTCATCAGTGTTTATGGTGGGAAGTGTTGAAAAGAGGTTCGACTCACTCAACATGCGGAACTGGAACCAGACATGGAAGGCTTAGAACATGGATTTCAGCACGATGACAGGACTGTCTAGCAATTAGAATGTTCTAGCAATGGTATAGCTTCCCAGGGAGAATGAGCTCACTAGCAGGATGGGAGCCACCCAGAGAGGGGGTTTCACTGAAGAGTATTATAGGGGGGATTTGTGGGTGTCAGGTGGAGAGGTTCTAAAGGCCTGTTATACTGAGACGGTGTGATTACAGGTGCTTTTATGTGATTACAAAGCACCTATATGTGGATAAAACTTCCCAGAGCAAGGATCTTCTCTTTTGCTCACTAGGCAGCTTCTTCAGTGCTTAGGCATTCCATGAAAATTCAGACTCCAGGCCGGTGAAAAATGGCTTTCCTCCAATTCTTCCTCGAATCAAAGAAATGATTATGCTTCCTGAGGTTGGAGCTCTTATCCGTAGGCCGAGGAAAGGTTTATACCTAGAATCCTCTCATGGTCTTATTAACACACTCAAAGTAAGCCAGAGTTTGGGGAGAACTGGGAAATGCAGTGAGAACATGTGTATCATCTTTTGAGACATGCGAGGTATATGTTCATTAGTAATGAATGTAAAGATCTGAAATTTAAATCCAAACTAGCATAAATGAAATACTGCATTTTCACATACCAACGAATGCTTTGTCATAAAGAGAATAGTTTTAATTCGCTTTCATTGATTTTCTTTTTTCTTTGGGCATAAACTCCAGGTACACTAAATCACATCGCCTGCTTGTTGAACAGGGTATACCGAGAGCTAAACTTAAAGAAATTGTGGCAGAATCTGACATTATGCTCAAGTAAGTTTCATGGGTGTTTTTTGTTGTTAATTGTCTACAGACCTGACCTGTTACATGCCGTATTCAAGTGTATATTTTTATTAAAATAATCTATAAGAATATCCCATATAAAAACATATCCAGAACATGCCGCCTATCACATAATAAAAGTGGCGAGATAAGGAATTGAGAATGACACATCAGATCATGGTGCAGGGAATGAAAGCCTATGAGCTTGAAGCACTAATTTACATTTTCTTTCTCCAAATTTAAGATCTCAAGACTTACAAAGTTAGGAAAAACAAGACCATTTTGAAGTTTTTTTGTTTTTAGCAAAAGTACTTTTCAAAGATATGAAATATAAAAAAAAGAATGTTTATAAGTCAAATTGAAAAGTGTTTAGCTAAGTACCCTGTTTTTATGATGTACCCTCTTTTAAACTTGTCATAATCTACTTTCTGAATTCTCCAAGTCCCTTGAAAACGATCTGTAGGAAAGGTGCATATGTTTTAGCAAATAAAATATTTCTATTAGGTGAATTATTGGATATTAACATGTTAAAGCTTATTTTCAATTCTGTTTACTACCTCTTAAATTCTTCAACTCACTAGGCAAATATGATGCTATTTCTTTTTTCTTTATTCTTTTTTTTTTTTTTTAATGATGATGCTACATTAAAGGTGATTTACTTCTGAGGAAAGCATTCAATTGTCAGAGTGTGAGGACTGCTAGTATTTCATTCCTTTGTTGGGCAGCTTATCCTAGAGCCAGGGAGAGTGAAACAGGAAGACAGATTTTAGGATGAGAACATTACCTGTAGCTGCCACATTCTGGCAGGAGAGAAGCCAGGTGTGAAGGAATCCAGCTCGGTCCCTGCTTTTCCAGCAATAGGGAGGAGATGAGTAGAATGACAAGCAGCAGGTCTTGCAGCTCACCCCAAATGGGGTTTTCAAGCTGAAGTTTAATGATTTGCTGTTCACTAGTATAAATTCTGAACTGTAGGCTTCTCCATATTCAATGCGAGTCTAAAATCATCTCATTTTTACTATGAGAATTTACTAAAAGGAGGGTAAAAAGTTAACTGTTGTTTGAAAAACTTGTGCTAGTATCAGACATCAGTAACAGTCCCCTTGGGCTTTATTTTGAAATGAGAACTAAGTGAATCATAGAAATATGTGGCTTTTTAAACATCTAGGGGAAAAAGAGATTTGTCTTCACTCCTAACAGTCAGACCGTACTTCCGCCTTGCAGGGAAGGATATGAGAATTTCTTCGATAAGCTCCAACAACACAGTATCCCCGTGTTCATATTCTCGGCTGGCATCGGAGATGTACTGGAGGAGATTATCCGTCAAGCTGGTGTTTATTATTCCAATGTCAAAGTAGTGTCCAACTTCATGGATTTTGATGACAATGTAAGAATATCAGGTCATTCCTTATCATTACTTTTAAAATCTGAAAATATTCTAATCATGTCAATGCATTTGTTATTTATTATTTCACGTGTGCTCATTACATGAGGCCAAGTTCATAGGCCCACAATAGGCCTCATCACCTCTCGCAGTGTTGTATCCATACCCATGTTTCAAGCATAATAACTCTGCTCAAAACTTTTGTTCCCCAGGCTACAGACTAATCTTAAAATTAGTAAAATGTCTAATGTAATGTAATGCAGCAACTCTAAAGAATTCACATCCATGGATGGGAAAAAAGAAGTGGCTTAGAACTAACGTCATTTGAACTAATTCTTCTAGTCAAGACAATATAACGTACATAAAATGGCACCTTTTGGTTAGGAACCAAATGAAAAGTAAAAAATTGGGCTTTCAACTCATGTTTAACATTTAAAGTATCTCTAGAAAGTCATTTACTTCTCAGAGTCCTTCTTACCTATCATGAATGGGAAACTACAACAAGTAAAATATGTAAAGCCTGTTATTCACAGGATTTATGTCTTTTGAATAGGGAGTGCTCAAAGGATTTAAGGGAGATCTGATTCATGTGTTTAACAAACATGATGGTGCCTTGAAGAACACAGATTATTTCAATGAACTGAAAGACAACAGCAACATAATTCTGCTGGGAGACTCCCAAGGAGACTTAAGAATGGCAGATGGAGTAGCTAATGTTGAACACATTCTGAAAATTGGATATCTAAATGATAAAGTAAGTATGTAAATCTCATTTCCTTTTAAGGAAAAACTAGGGTTGTCCTGGCCAGTGTGGCTCAGTTGGTTGGGTGTCGTCCCTTGCACTGGAAGGTCGCTGGTTCGATTCCCAGTCAAGGGCACATGCCCGGGTTGTGGGCTCAATCCCCAATAGGGCGAGTACAAGAGGCAGCTGACCAATGTTTTTTTTTTTAATATATTTTTATTGATTTTTTTACAGAGAGGAAGGGAGAGAGATAGAGAGTTAGAAACATCGATGAGAGAGAAACATCGATCAGCTGCCTCCTGCACATCTCCTACTGGGGATGTGCCCGCAACCCAGGTACATGCCCTTGAC